AAACAACACTATAACTGTGTGGTAACAGCGGCTCAACAACAGACACAAAAAGACTGATGGTTGAAACACAATAAAGTTATTGCTGATGTATATTTTGACAATTTATCTGATTTTCATTGATGGACTGATTGGTTCATCTGCAATAAATCTATGTGAACACAGAGTGGACCAGAACTAAAAGCTGGTCCAAACCAAATGAGCCAAACTACTGTCACACTCGCAGCGTTGATCAAATATGAATTAAGATTCTGTCACTGCACTGTCCACTTCTCGTCTCAAATGTTTTCAGAGACATATTTTAGTGTACTGCTTTGCTGTACTGTGACTTGGCTGCCATGTTTGAAAACAGTTTAGCAGAAATGACGCAAATCTGCACTTTTGCAAATCAAGTGTCGACTCGTAGTGACTAGAGCATCATTTTTATGCCCCTGCACCAGTGATAGCCATGGCTGGAGGTAATATGTTTTTTTAGGTTGTCCGTCCGTTTCTCATGAACAAGATATCTTAAGAACAAACTGAGGGCATTTCCTCAAATTTGGCACAAACATCCACTCAGGCTAATGATGAAATGATCTGATTTTGGTGGTCAAAGGTCACTGTGACATCACAAAACATGTTTTTGGCCATAACTAAAGTATCCATACACTTAGTATGACAAAACTTCACACAAATGTCTAATAGGATAAAATAATTCAGTTAAGATATTTTATATCCAAAAGGTCAAAGGTCAGCTTCACTGTGACATCATAATGTTCTACAATAACACTTATGGCCATTATTCAACGCCATATCTCAGGAACAGAAGGGGAGACATTTGGTCAGATACTGAACTGGTGACACTAATCTTGGGTGTCCATATTGAATCTGAGCTGCCAGGGGGAAGATGTGTATAAAAGCAGGTTTAAGAATATGTAGGTTTTTTGCATCACCATCCATATTTGAAGCATTGTCAGCTGTCACGTCTACATATGAGTCTGGACAGACATGGCTGTAAACTGCAACTTGCGAGGTGATAATTCTAGTTTTTATAACCCATTTTATTATCATTTAACCCAAATCATGATCTTTCCTGAACCTTAACCAAATCCTTTTGTTTCCCGAAGTTAGGACAGAAGTCTAGACACAAACCAAAAGTTTTGGTGTCAAAGTCTTGCACTTCCGAAGCCTGCACAGTACATAAATGTAATGTTTTGTTACCCTAAAGAAATGTCTCTGAACATAATCAAGGCATCATTTACTTTGCCACAACAATGTTAGTTATAATTAGTAACAAACAAAGGTAGGTTCCTGGGGACTCAGTTGTCCTTGCCTACATATTGAATGGACCGCCCCAACAAATGTGTTTATTGTGAAAGAAACTGTTGTCCTCACTTGCCTGCCTTCAACAGAGCAGGACAGGAGGGTCTGATATTAAACAGAACAAACCCCCCTCCTCCATAATGAGACTATCTTCATCATAATGAGGACCAACATCAACACACAGGACATAAACAGTTCTGGGTTTATAGATGAGCGAAGCTCAAGAGGACGTAAAACGAACAGATTCCAGTTGCTTCATCTCAAGAATTTAAACCTCAGGTCACTCACCAGTTTACAGCTGCTTTTCCTCCAAAACATTCCTCTCAGACCATATGGGTCTTTGAAGGCTGCAATATGTGTGTTCTGAGTTTTGTTCTTTACTCTCTCATCCACATGAATTGATCTTAATGTTTTGTACATGACTTACTGTAGCATGATAAGTTAAACAGTTATTGTTGTTAACATCTTTGACTCATGGCAGTGTCCCATGTCAGCTTTTCACTCGGGATTCGTTCTCTTTTTAAATGTCAATATTTGGGCTCGGACGTTTCAGTCCAAATATTTAAAATATTGAGAACTGTATGAGGGACATGCTGATTACCAAGAACTGGAATAACACCATGGATGTGCTGTCAGGCACGACAAGACATCAGAGAGTCCACTTCAGTTGTGATTCAGGGTGTTTTCACACTTGGTCCTTTTCAGCCCTCTAAACAGACTCAGAGCGGTGACTCAGCATTTTCTGCCCATATGTGAACACTCCAAGAGAACTCAGACCTCTCTTAAGCGATCACCTCGGAGGCACCTCGGTCTGAGTTTGGGTCGCTGTAAGGCTGCAGTGCGGTTCACTTAACCTGTGCCCTGTGACAATAAAGCGCTCCAGGTTCACTTTGCTCTTTGCTGTTGTATTTAGCCCTGTAGTTCACATGCTGTTGCACTGGGATGCTTGGACAAACATACAAAACCACACTGGCCTGAAATGCTTGCAAGGATGCAGGACGAGGTATAGTTTTCTCCACAGAAGATACTGCACGTCTCCAGTTTGGGAATGTAGAATACATCAAACATACAGTCTACGGCACAGAAACACTAAGGTTTACCTCCAGTTTTAAGTTCATCTGAAAGCGTGGGGCTTTATAACCGCACTGCAGTGCCACGTCAAAGTAAAAATTAAACTATGTCAGCATATAAGTTATTATATACAGGCTACAGTTTGAAGAGAGACAGGGCTGAGGCCCCGTCAGAGGTAAAGTGGAGCAGAAAGAGAACTAAGTCCTCTTGAAAATGAACTGAGGACTGAGTTCAGTTTGTTTAAAGAGGACTATATGTGAAAACACCCTTATTGTAGTAGGAAACAGATGGTATGTCAGTCTGGCACCAATCAATGCTGATTTCATCTAAACAGACTGGTTACAGTTTCCATCCACATGTGTCCAGACTCATATGCAGCCCTGACAGTTGACAATGCTTCAAATGTTGCTGCAAAGAAGCTGCATATTGTAAAACGTGGATGCTTCACACATCATAAGTCGCACAGAAAATCTAAACAGCACAGTTCAAGGTGAACACCCAAGTTTAGACGTCACGTTCACGAGAATTAGATTGACACAAAGTTGAAGTGACACTGACAGTGCCATCCAAAATCTAATTTATTGTTGAGTCCAAGTGGACAGTTGTACCTAATTTAAAGAAATTCCCTCAAGGCGTTATTGAGATATCGAAATCACCAGAATATGACAGATGTACCACAAGTGTACAGACATTTGACTACACATCAACTAACAAGAATTAACACAATGTAAAATCAATCAAGGTAACATCAAACAACTTAAGCCTCAAAGTATTTTGAAATTAAATTAGCTAAGAACAAAGGAACTCACATTTTCACTCAGTCAAACAGTTGTTCCCAGTAGTACTAAGGATTCTGCTGCAGGTGGTGCAAAAAAGAGCTCACACCTGAACTCAATCCCTGGTATCAAGCCAGGCTCCTCCTCCTCCAAATAAAATAACAACTAAAATGTCTGCATACCTGAACAACAAAATAGGTTGTTAGTCAGTGGATTCCAAAACCAATGTTTCCTGTTGGTAGGATGAAGACACTGTAGCAATACCTGTGCAGTTTAGGTAACTAAAACTATACAATTAAGGTTAGGAAATAATCTTTAATGTCTGATTACAGTCTTCCATACACTGTGACCTCCTGAAAAGCTCCTCAAAACTTCAGTATTAGAGTATGTCTTTGTACCGTTAAATATTTGTGACTAAATTAGCAACAGTCAAAGCTTCGGCAGCACCAGGGCTGGGCTTAAAAACCCTGAATCTTTACTGTTCATCACCTGTGGCATTTTTCCAAACAAAGCATTTTCCGATTAAGATGTGGGCAGGTCTTTAATTAATGATTATTTTCATTGTCGGTTAATCTCTCTATTATTTCATCCATTAATCGATTCGTTGTTTAATCTGTAAAATGTCAGAAAATGGTGAAAAATGTTGAACAGTATTTCCCAAAGCCCAAGATGACGTCCCTGTTTTCTGCAAACCCCCAAATACTGTCACTGAAGAGTAAAGAAACCAAGGAAATCACATTTGAGAAGCTGGAATCAGAATTTCGATTTTTTGCCTGATAAAATACTCATACTGGTTAATCTATTATCAAATTAGCTGGCAATTTATTTAAGAGTTGATAAATATTTGATTAATCATTGCAGCTCTACATGTGAGATATGCTATTATTCAGGTTTCAGGAGCATTCTTTGAACATGTGTACAGCACATTTAGAATATGCATCTCAGTTGGGGTTATTACTGCAGTTTGCAGCACACGGCCTCTGGCCTGTTTACAATCAGCTCTGTGCACCGTCAAGGACATGCTGTACACCAACAACAGATTGTAAGGCTGGACTAAAGATGTATGATCAAAAGAAGAGCACACATTGCTGTTCAGAAGGAGAAACACAGCTACTTTTAAACATGATGAAAGACTTGTGTATCAACAGGTTTTTGGATATGTGCAGATATCACAATGCAGACCTTTTCCTTTGAGGGACTGGTGGAAAACTTTGACAAAATCCTGTTTTGACGCAGAGGCAAAATGACATGAGCAGCTCCAGCTGTTTGACTTCTCTGTTTTGATGTGATATGTTTGGGCACGATAATCTGAATATGCACAAGTGCATGTAAACAGGAATATTAGTGGATTTGTCTATTTCAGAACAAGAGTAGTTTGTGCATGTATAAGTAGTTAGTGCTTTAAGTGGTTGGACTGCGGCACTGAAGGAACAAAAACACTTTTTTATACTTATAGCATTTGCATACAATTAAACTTGTTATCTTAACAGGCTTATTTTTCACTTCCGATTAAATAGGGCTGAGGTGCCTGCCTCTTTCATCCTGTGCCACCCAATTATGTGCAATGCCCATGAATCACAACATCTCTGGCTACACTGCTGAGTGTATCAGAGCTTTTTCCACAGAAAACAGCTGCTGCGGGAAATGACGCTGATGAGAGCAGTGAGACTAAACTGGAGCTGAACACTGGAGCTGTGGACTGGAAAACCAACAATGAGCTGAAAACGTTCAAACGCTCCGTAATGCTAAAAATAGCCGAGCTTGCATGAACAGAGGGGATAAAAAACAGTGGCATCATGTTTTAATAAAGCTGTGGTCGCAGCAGACACTGAAAGAAGACAGAGGCAGCACGTCTGGCTTTAAAAAGCTCAGTGTGCTTTATTATTTACATTTTAACAGAGCTGAAAATATTCAACTCACTGAACTCAGTGAAACAGGTGAAGGGACATCAACAACAGCTCGAAACATAAAACTAAGATCATGAAATGGTACAGAAAGTCAAACTAATGGAATAAACCAGAAATAAAAGCTCAGTTTTCACCACCTTTGAATAAAAGCAGTGTTTTTTTTAACAGTACATGTTGTAAAAAGCACAATCATTACAATGCAGTTATGTACATGTTCAATACAATTAATTTTCAATATTTGTACACATTACACATACTGCAGTTTACAAAATGTTTTATGAAAATCACACCTGCCTTCAAAAATACAACTGAAGCACTTCAATCCAAAGTGAGACATCCAACATTTGTAAAAGGTTTAACACCCTGTACAAATTAAAAGCAAGTTTAGTTCACTATGAATGACTGTAACGGATGTAAGTTTAACAACATGGTAACACTTCAGTTGTCGTCTCTTTTCGAGACTGACTCAGAGTTAGAGACGGAGGTGTGGGGAGGTGGTTGGCTCGTCATCCGTTCATCAGACAGGTGCGGCAGCAGAACTGACGGTAAAGCTTCTTCTCACAGAGACGGTTGGACTTGACCATCTCACAGAACACCTCATCAGCTGACGGACAGATTGATGCAGAAGCAGAAAATGAGCTTAAAGGTATACTGTGCAGGATATTACAGATGTTATACAGAAATAATTACTTATGACCCACTAGGAGTGTGTGGTGGTGTGTGTTTCTGCCGAGACTCTGCCCTCTGCCTGTAGTTTCTTATTTTCTGTCTTGGGGACTTTTATGGATGTGTACCTCCACAGCGCTCAGGTGATGCCGGGGCTTTAAAAAAAAAGGTGGTGACCAGATGCTAGACTAAAGGAAGCAGGTGGAATCCAAGAGACACAGGGCTGAAACTAGAATTACTGTCCTGCAGTTGTATGCCTCCGCGCACCAGTCAGGTTTTTCTTACAGTTTACATCTATGATGTCTGTGAAAACATGGATGCTTCACACCCAGAGGATCAATATAATCAGCACAGCTTCAAGGTGGACACCCAAGATGAGTGTCACCAATTAAGCATCTGACCAAATATTTCCCCTTCTGTAATGAGATATGGTGTTGAGTAATGGACAGAAAAGTGTTTTATACCGAACATTATGATGCCACAGTGAAGGTGACCTTTGACCTTTTAGATGGAAAATGTCATCACTTCATTATTTTATCCTGTTAGATATTTGCTTAGTCATAATTAGCATGTGAATTCTTAAGTTATGACCAAAAATATATTTTGTGAGGTCACAGTGACCTTGACCTTTGACCACAACATTCAAATCACTTTATTCTGAAGACCAAGTGGACGTCAGTGTCAAATTTTAAGAAATTCCCTGAGGGTTATCTTGAGCTATCGTGTTCATAAGAATGAGACAGATGCAAAGTCACAGTGACCTTGAGCTTTGACCATCGATATCTAATCAGTTCATCGTTGAGTCCAAGTGACCATGTAGCCTAATCTGAAGAAATTTCCTCATGATGGTCTTGAAATATCACATCCACAAAAATGAGACAGACAAGGTCACAGTGACCTTGACCTCTGACCCTTGACCACCAAAACAAATCAGTTTATCGTTGAGTCCATGTGGACATTTGTGCCAAATTTGAAAAAACTTCCCTGAAGGCATCTTTAACATATTGCGTTCACAAGGATCGGACAAATACTCGCACATACGAACAACATGAAAACATAATGCTCCTGGTCAGGGATGTCGCCGGCATGGAGGCATAAACAAACAAAAAAAAAAACAACCAAGGCGAAGCAAAACGCCAAACCAGTAAATATGAGGTTAACTTAACTTTAAATTTTGCTGGCAACTACGTTTACAATTAGTAACCAACAATCCTGCATAGTATACCTTTAACTAAATACAAACTTCGAACTCTCTGTTGCAAGCACCAATGCAAGTTGTTGTTTTTTTCTTTTTTGCTTTCATCTGCTGTGTGTTATCAAATCAACAGATATAAACAGTTTAGCAGTGCCATTTGTCTATTAGAGGATCTGAAACAATCAGAAATGGTACAGCTGCCGATGATGCGTCATCAGATCAGAGTTGTGCTGTGACAGAAATGAAGAGGAAATGGATTGATTTACACTTAAGATGCTAAAAAACATCTCTTCAAAGCAAATTTGTTCAGGAAAACAACGACTCTTGAACATGCAAGAAATGTCTAAAACCATTAGACCAATGTTATATGTTCTGTTGAGATGTGTATTTGAATAATCTCAAAAGTTTCCAAAAATGTTCAAACCCAGAGAAAACTGTAATTTTCCATCAAGGACGCAGCCCCTGTCAGTTGCCTCATATCCCCTCTGTGCATAGTTGTGGTTGTCTACCAGAAGCTGTCATAAATTGACCTTTTATCCAGTTTTAATCCACATTTTTACAATAAACGTTTTAGATCTTTGTTGTTTTTAACTACAGTTTTTAATCTGATAAAGGATTTTAAGTCATCAGATGTCTGGGTCTGAAGATATCAGAGAAACAAGCTGAAATATACCTTAGAGGCAACTTGGCTCCAGCCTCTGCTGTGACAGTGTCAGAGAAACACTGTTTTTTTCCATGAAACTGCTTTATTCACTGTTTTTACAACAAACAGACCCAGTTCAAATCACTGGGTCTGTTTGTTTTAGGGCAAAGTAGGCCTCTGCGGATAATTCAGCTCCTGCTAGAAACCCCTGATCGATGAACATAGGAGGAACTCCTGTTCTGTTAATGTTTTGATTAAGAGACCTTTAATGGCAGAAATATTACATGTAGTACATTTAAAAACAAATCTGTACACACAAATGATAATTGGATAAAGCTCACTGTGTGCCTTATTGAGGTCTAAAAAAATGAGTTGAATGCATGTCATTTCTCATAAAACAGTTGCAAAACTTTTTTTCTTTAATATTCAATCGTTTACATTTAAGTTTGTTTGCTAGCAGTCTTCTTTTTCACCTACTGTTGATACACTAAACGGCATGAAACCAGCAGCAAAATGTAAGTCATGCCACTGTGTGCTCATTCATATGCAGCATACAAACAAAACAGGGACCCAGATGTAAAAACTATGCTCTCAAAGTATTTTGGAGTGCAAGTCAGGTGGGATTGTCGGACAGGGAAGTTAGTTATTATACTAGTCTATATTAGCTGACATCATCTAAATATAAAACAGATCAAATATATGACGAGAATGAAGCAGATGTGGGTTATAATTTCAAACTCACCATTATGACACGATGCATTCACAATACAAGTCCTGCTGACCAGACTGTAACCCTCTTTGCATCTGGTGCAAGTCGTTCCAGGGCCGCTGCAGCTCAGACAGTTTTCCTCACACCTTGATGAACAAGGCGAGATAAAATCCAGCTGAAATCAATAAACCCTTAACAAACACCTATTTCTTTTTACAGAGTTTACAGAGTGTTCCTCTGCCCCTGTACCAGAGGAAAATGTCAGGTGTGTCATTCAAATGTAACTGTAATAGAAGAACAATCCAAAAACCAGATTTTACAGTGGACTTAAAGTTATAAAGATGAGGAGAATCAAACCCTGACTGACTGACTTGAAACAGTTTTTTTGGTGCCCACAGTGTTATTATATAAAAACTTGAATGATCCAGGGATGAACCAGAGATATTAGTGAGACTGAGAATCACCCACCTGTGACACATCTTATGAGGGACTCCTGCTGCCTCTCCGGAGTAATAGCCAGGACTACAGGTCTGCACACACCTCCACTCCTGCTGCAGGTAGCGCTCAGCACACAGGATACACTCCTCCTTACCCGGCCCTGAGAGACACAGATATGAAACTTAATGTCATGGAAAATAAAAACCTAACAATGTGTACGCACAAAAAAGATGTGTATGCCTTTTCCCACACACAAACTGGTATTTATAAAGGAGGCATATGTGCACCTCTAACATTCTTCAGACTAAGTGTACACACAATTTTAGCTGAGATAGCTGCAGGTGATATAAGGACGAGATTAAATATAAATTGAGAGACAGATAAACTGTTTGCCAGTTTTATTGATTGTTATTTTTGCCGCATGGTGTTCTGTAAAATGTCAATCAAAGGCGCATTATAAATTTAAGTTTAAATTATTCATGAGTGATTAAAATTAATATTAGTCATCAATATTTTTAATTTACATTAATCTCCCTGTTAGTGATCATTTAATTTGATCCCAGGGAGCATTCTGTCAAGTCAGTTTCAACCTGAGCGCGATGAATCAATCACTGATCATCTTTCTGACGTTTAATAAAAATGATGATTGTGATTTTAGCAGATGATGGCTTTCATAAACGTGATGAGTTAGTGGTGCAGACGCTACAAATTGCCACAGCCATATGTAACAACAGCTGCTCTGGCACCACTGGAGAACCTTGCCAATGCAGCACAGTCTGTGAAAGTGCACTTCCTTTATCATATTCTTGTTGACAGGTCTAATGATCAGTGAGGGGGCAAAGATATTGATGTGTAAACAGCTGTTAAGGGTGTTTCTACAATCAGTTAAGGGGAACTGTAGGTGTGGAAATGAGGCTCATACATGTGCAACCTGTGCCACAATGACTGAGATTTACAAAACAGAATCAGGTGTGCTCATGGCTTTATACATCTGCGTCAAGTTGGACTCAAGGTTTTAAAATTAGAATTTGCCTCCAGGCACTGTAGAAACTGCACTAGCAAACACTCTAACCTGTACATGTCCTACAAGAGGAATGACATGGACTGCAGGTCATCTCTTCCAGGTGGAAAAAGGTCCCATTGGTGCATTCAGGGACACAAGTCATCCCTGCCAGACTATAAAGAAACATCAACATTACCTCACGTTGTTTTAAACCCAAGCTCACATATAAATGTTAGTCTAACTGTCTTTACATACCTGTAGCCTTCACTGCAGGCAGTGCATCTGTCTGCAAACCTCAGGCATCTTGAACAGGTGTCGTGACACTTCAGACACTGTCTCTGATCTGGAATAGACAGCATGAACAAGCATCAATATAGTAGTCGAAATCCAGGATTTTCTTAACAACTTACATGTAACGTCATCAGCTGTTATCAGCTGTTGCAAATCCCTACGCTATATGACTGGTACACATCAGATATATAATAATATAATATATATTAAAGGGCCCACTGAATCTGGTCTACACTGTGGATGTTGACTTACTCTCATCGGCAAAGTAACCTGGAGGGCAGGCATCGCTGCAGCTGGAGTTGAGTGTGTTGAGGTAAAGGCCTCTTCGACAGGAGAGACACTCGCCTACTGATCGGCCGACACATCCCTCACAGCCTTTATAGCAGCGTCTACAGCGATGAGACGCTATGTCCCCGTAGTGTCCCAGTGGACAGTGGCTCACGCAGGTTCTACACACAGAGGTAAGTCAGTTAAGTTAGTTCACTCATTTTTAAGCGACCCTGTGCAATTTCTGCTCAACAGTGCCCCCCAGGTTGATGGAGCATGGCTACATTTGCTAACAATCACTGACCTTATGCACGACAAGCTACTGGTCATACAAGACAAGTAAGGCCCTGCAAGTACTGAACTGACAGGGGATGAATTGTATTGCTTATGAATTCAGCTTTAGAAGAGGGTCGTCTCTCTTAGGTTAGAATGTTGTCTCATTTTAAAGCTTGTATACTACTGACATAAATTCACGATTAGCATCTCATTACACAGACATACACTTCGTGGCCAGACAAAGTCCATAAGTGTATGGCAACACACTATGCTACGTAGGGAATTCAAAAGACAAACTTCAGCGTTGATAAACCTCTCAGGTTTTAAGGTCCAGTGTTTAGGATTTAGTGGCCACTAGTGGTGAGAACTGAAACTTCTCCCATGTGCCAAGTGTGTAGGAGAACTACAGTGGCTGACGCAAAAACACAAATGGCCCTGTCTACAGCCAGTGTTTGGTTTGTCCGTTCCAGGCTACTATTAAAAAAAAAAAAAAAAACACTGGAGACTCTGTGGCAGAGGACCCCCTCTGTATGCAGATATAAACGACTCATTCTAAGGTAACGAAAACACAACAATTCTTATTTTCAGGTGATTATACACCAAAGAAAACATGCTTATTGCATTGTATTCCATTTCTGCAAATATATTCTCCTAAATTCTACACACTGATTATCATTTATTTGGAGTTGTGTTTTTGTTTGACTGACTGTCCACCTTTTATTTCCTTTAGCTCTGTTTTGGTCTCCTCCAACTCCTGAGAATTCCAGCACTATGTTCATCAGCTAGTCTCAAACTTTCTGTCTGTCATTTGTTATGTTTTTAAACTCTGGGATTTTCCACTTGTCTGGTTTCACCACCTTCTATTAACTCTTACCTGCCACTTTTCAAGCTGCCTGAGCTGAAGTGGACACAGTTGAGGCAGTGTGCAGTACCTGGTCCGTCACAGCCCTGGTCTCCACACTCAATGTGGCATGGTCCTGGATGAACACCACATGGACTATGATCAACGGCACCGCCATCAACATCATTATCAGTATTTCTAGACTCTTTGACAAGGCAGCTTCTTTTATTAGATTTGATTGGTTTCTGCCCTCGAAGTTTTTACAACCAGAACTGCAAAACTATACTTTTGTTGGGAAAATACTTTTTTGATTCTCTCACCATTGTACTCATCTTCCTCTTCCAGCTCTGGCTCCTCCAGGATCTCCTCTGGGATCTCCAGCATCCTTGAACGGGAGTGCTGAGCACTGTTGGGTGGGTAAGGGTTCTGAGTTGTGCCATAAAGGATCAGTGTCCATTCTTTAAGGTTGCCTGTCCCAAGTAATAATAATGATAATTAGGCTGCTCTGAATAAGAACAGTAGCTTCAGTTAGGATGGGACTTTTAAATGTGTGCCTGAGTGTGCACGTGCTGCTGGACCTTACCCAGCACCTCAGGGTTGCGTAGCTTTGATGGTGAGTCAACAATCTCCAGAGTCCATGTGCCCTCAGCCCTCTCACCCCAGAAATGAACGGTCATGAACTCCCAGTTCCTGAAGCCCTCACTGGAGCTGTCAAACAACCTGTAAATAAATGAGACATAAGAAAAGTAAAGTTAAGAGCATAAAAGCTCCATGTTTATGGACTAAATTAGGCTACCACTTAAGGCCTTTACACTGTATCAGTTACACATGATGAAATCTCTGATGATCAAAAACAGCTTCTAAGAGTTTCAGAAACTGAATCCACAAATCTCTTAATGTGATTGCTCCTACCCACACATACACACCAAGGAATCAGAGTACGACATGATCGGACCTTGGAATAACTGTGTCAGGGGGGCAATTGCTCACAGACTCTCTTTCTCCTGGACCACGACTTGCCCTCGCTCATGGCAGGCAAACCTGAACCAGAGAAGTTAGAGGTGCAAACACAAGGTTTGCAACTAACTTTCCAGCAACACAAGGCTGACCAAAATATACCTGCTCAGGTCTGATTCTTGCAATAGGTCTCAAAGTCCACCCACTGACTATGTACACGTGTTCCTGCCATGCTCTCAATTATCAGAGTTTTGGGCTGCTATATTTGAGGCAATTAGTAATGTACTGGGTAAAGCAGTAGACCTCGACCCCCTTGCTACTCTCTTCAGAATCTCCTCTGCGCCCAGTATGCCCAAGACTGCGCAACAAATCCTTGCTTTAACCACCTCACTCGCTAGGAGACCCATTCTCCTCTGGATGCACTCCTCCCACCTACTCATAATAGGTGGATTCATGAGATACTGCAGTGCATCAGGCTCGAGAGGATCAGATTCTCTCTGAGGACATCCCTTAAGACGTTCTACAAAATTTGGCAACCTTTTCTAATATATATTGACTCACTGACTATCAGTGAAGTAACTTTGTTCTGTTCTGTCTGTTGTTGTCATTTGGCATGGTTTGATTTTGTCTCTGTCCTGGTATGCCTGCGTGTGTGACTGTCTCTCTTGGGTGGGTGGGATGGATCCAACCTTCCGGAAGGTAGGCAGGGGTGGGATCCAGGAGGATGGATAGGAGTGGGATGAGATTATTAAAGGCAACACACAACCCTGTTTCTTTCACCCTGTTTCACAAACTAATAAAGAAAGTTGAAAAAAAGAATGTCATGATGGCAGCTATGTGCTTTTGTATATTGGCACAGCATGCTAAAAGTGTGAGAGATAGCATTTAACTCAAATCACTGCTCAAAATTAAACTTCACAGAGCCGTGAGTGCAGCTGCTATATTTTCAGCCTTTTTCTGACAATTTATCACAGACTGAGAGCAACTGTTCCTTTCATCTTAAAATTAACTTGTGGAGACTTTAAAGAATACCTTACCCACACTAAGCACTGAGCATACGACTTAAATATAAAGAGATAAATGAGACTTGGATTGTACTGCAGGAGTTGTTTGAAAGTATGCAGTTGGATGTTTTGATATTGTGTTGTTGTTAAAAGCAGTCGCTGTTTACTTCAAATCATGAAGAAAGTTCCCCTTCTTTGGATTCTCCATTTACCATGGAGGCATGCTAGAAAAACAGTGTTCTTCACAAAGTCATCATAACACACAGTACGTATTTGACATACAAATGATGAATTTGTTGGTGAAGTAGGCCTTTTCGTATAAACGAGGCCTCCACTTATTTATTATTTCACTCCCATAACACTGACAGAGTCAAAACAGACATTAAGCCAGAAAAAAGGATCAACAACTCCACCGCCTACAGATCAAAGATCCCAATGTGTTAACACTAGTAGGGGCTGATGTAGCCTGGATTCTGTAGTCTGCAGAGATGACAAACAAGCTACAGAGGTTTGGTAAGCTCACTTCTTTCTAACGCAATTTTTAATGACCAAAATTGTAATCTTCAGCCCTGACTAAAGCTGACTCAAGTGACATCACTTGAGGTAATTTATCAGACTTGACACAGCTCCCTCTGGGGACACAGAAGGCTTTTTACTATGTTTGTCACATATGCTGTAGTACTCCTGTAGTAACACCTGTAAACTAGGGCTGCACCTAACGATTATTTTCATTGTCGACTAATCTGTCGGGAGATTGTGTAAAGCTGCCAATATCTGAACGTAAGAAGCTGCAGTAAGAGTATTTTGGGGTACTTTTATAGTACTTTTCTATGAAAAATGACTCAAACCAATTAGTCAACTACTAAAATAGTCACAGATTATTTTAATAGTCGATTAGTCATCGATTAGTCGACTAATCGTGGCAGCCCTACTGTAAACACACGCTGGTGTGGAAAATCGCTTACAGGAAAGAAATTTATCACAGTGAATATAGTGTCTGCTTTAACTGTTAGAGTCACACTATTGTAATATTGAAATAAAAATAGATAAGGAGTAAGAAACGCGATTTTGACTGCTGCACAGCATAACTTGATAGTTCACTATTTAAACTGTTGAGCTCTCAACCTTTTTCACTGAACCTTACATTTAGTTACATTGTTAGTTTGGTATCTAATTAACTATAAAATATCATTTGCATGTCTTGTTTTGGCAGGGCGAGTGTGTGCACAGGAACATAGACTGAGCAGCTGTCAGTCAAAACTTTGTAGGTAATGACAGTAACAGTAGTTTCAGAGAGTGCAGCAGCAGGCAGTGAGAGAGAAATTCAATAAAAGCGGGGCCCCTCTTTTATCCACTGATGTTTGACTTTGTGTCCCCAGACACTTAAGAAACCAAAAAATACATCTACATTCCAAAAGACTTTTTTCTGTGATTCATCAGCATATTCTGATGAGTACCTGGTATGTTAATTTACTCTGACAACACAGAGGATGAAGGACCCACAAGGGAAAGCTGGGCAGATAGACAAGGCAGAGTATGGATGGAAGTGAGAATATGAAAACAAAACATTTGAACTATTCTGACTGATGGGAGCTGCTTTTCTTTGACAGAAATTCAGCAGAGGGTTACGTGCCTGCCCTTCAGCCTGTAAAGCCTCACGCTGTGTGTTATTCTCACTCAGCCTTTATATTTAAAGAATACCTTTCAGAGGCAATTCAAAGCTTCACTGAACCATTGAAAGAGAAATAGATACTAAAAACCTGAATCCAACCTCTCACGAAATCTGTCCTTTATTAAACAATACTATAGGAGTTAGTTTTTAGATGAATTCAGAGTATATATTTGATATTTGGAATGTGCCTTATAGTGACACTCAGTTTAGCAGACATTGGGGAGTGACAATGATAAACACCACATGATATAGATTTACTGTAACAGAGAGAGATTTGTTTTCACAGGCAGTACACCGTAACAAATAATCCACAGACCTCGCTGTGACCTGTTTTTAATAGGAACTATTTTCTTATAAAAGGCAGAAAATACTGAAAACTGCCAGAACCACTGCAGATCAAATCAAAGTACAGCATCTGCAGAGATAGATACAACTGGGGCATTTAGCAGAACTGACCCTGTATCAGTAGATACAGTTAATATTTGTAGGGACACCCACAAAACGGCACATTTTTAACACCAAGGGGGGAAACAAAGCATTTGCGACCTTGCTGAGGAGTTGCTGTGAGGCTTTCTGCACGTCATATTAACTTAAAAATCCAGAGTTGAAGAGTATTTTTCAACCTAGGCCCTAGTTTTGTGTGTAAAGCCCCTTTTATACTACCTCTTCAAGGTAGGAATTTCACGCTGTTATTCCGCCCCACCGTGCTGTGTAAGAGGTACAACTGCGGAATGAGGGGACATGCTGTCTCGCCTTTAAGATGGCATCGAAGGTAGTAACCTCTCCGAAACAATGGCTGTATTAACAAGACAGCTGGCAGACCGTGATCGTGGGCAGCACCGTGTGACATTTTGATGTGTTATGTGTGTGACCTACCACAGGGAGATAAGGAAGTAGCTGATAGCAGTTAGCAGCTAATGTAAAGAAGAACAGCTGCCGAAAATGTCAGCAAACTGGGAAAACATTGAGTTCCATGAGATCCTTACCCTCTGAGCAGAGGAAGAGATCAGCCACCATGAAACAGAGACTGTAAATGATTGTTACTGCCATGTTATGCCATAGTTATTGTTTTTAAAGTGCTGCCAATGCATATGTCATATGTCACACTAGAGGCTGACACTCTTGGGTTACACATCATGCCTCTTTTGATTCCATAATGTCTGCATTCGTCTTCAATCACACACTGGAGCAGCATGATGCTGCCTTTGTTTGGTTCTGTGTAAAAAATGCAAAGGGAAGCATATAAAGGGACTTTGTAGTGGCCCTTTAGCGCAATCTCTGTGTATAAATGCCCTAGGTGATTAATAGGAACAACATTTTTTTAAATCAGCCTGGTATTGAGTGAGCACAACAGCCTGGCTGCAATGTAAACACTCAGGGCAAGTTTGCATTGTCAATTTACATCCACAAATAGTGTTGTTTTTGCCACCGACAGGGTCAGATTGTTATTATAAGTGTCTGACACAATGTGGGGCGCTTCACACTATATATTGTTAAATCTGCATCAGGCAGTGGTGTGTACAGTGTAGCGCTCACCTCTTGGCCAGTAGCTGCGATCTCGTCCCAGACGGAGAGATGAGGTTGATCTCCAGGTCTCCTCTTCGTGGGTGGGCAATCACAACCTTGACCACCACATGCTCCAGGTAAGCCACATGCTGCTCAGCATCTTCTGAACATCCAGAGGTGGTGATGCTGCTGTTCAGACTCTGGCCAGCATGGATGTACCTGGGACAGCCCAAAGCATAAGCATTATGAAATAACATGATAACTGTTAGAAGAGATCGTGCTCCATTGATATGGAGCCATCACAAACACATAAATGAGTAGCACCTATGAACTACGATGAGGCAAAACTCTGACTGTCTTCATGGCACTAACTCACATCGCTCCCACACCCACACAGATCATTTGATGGTTGAACTGATCAGGGATCAGATGTGCGTGATCATATGTGGTAGAAATACCTGGAGCAGTGTTTCCTTGGTGCTATGAAGGAGCAGTGTGTAAGATTTAGGGGGGTTTAGTGGCATCAAGCAGTGAGGACTGCAGATTGCAACCAACTGAACTTCTCTGTTTAGGATTCCTTTAGAGTTCAGTGTTCCTTCAGGAGGTTTTTAGTGAGAGTAGAATTATCTGCAGAGGTCTCTGCCTCTCCAAAACAAACAGACCAAAGGATTAAGAGAAACAGACCAAATAAATAAAACTGTTTGAAGAAAAAAAAAAACCTGAAAGAAGTAGTTTCATTACATATCAGTGTCTCTCCAACACTGCTGACGTCTCCAACCTTGGAGATGGGCTGCTAGCCCAACATCTGCTAGTATGTGCTCACCTTTTTTGTAATGTTTAAAAGGTTTTTAGCAGGAGCTGAATTATCTGCAAAGGTCTCCTCGCCAAAACGGACACTACCGGAGTTTTGAACCGTGAATGAAGTGGTTACACTTCACAAATCAGTGTGTCTCTAAAGCAGTTTAGCATTTCGGAGAAGAGCCGGGTTAATGTGTGCTGACCTTTTCTCTCTGATAACTTAAGATCCAGCGAAAGCTGACTCAAGTGACATCACGTAATAATCTACAGAGGTCTCCTCCTCTCCAACACAAACAGACCAGGTGATTTAAACCGGTAAAAGTACTGAATGAAGCAGTTTCATGTTGAAAATCTGTGATTTTCTGCTGCTGCTCATTGTGGAGGGGCTGCTAACTACAGTGGCCAACGCAAAAAATTTAATGGCCCTATTTAGAGCCAGTGTTTGGTTTGTCCATTCTTGGCTACTGTGGAAACATGGCGGTGCAACATGGTGGATTTGTGGACGAGGAAATGGTCCCTATGTATATATAAACGGCTCATTCTCAAGTGACAAAAACACAACATCTCTTATTTTCAGGTGATTATACACTAAAGAAAATATACTTATTGTATTACATTCCATTTCTGCTAATATATTCTCCTAATACCTACACACTGGGACTTAAAAAACATCAGATAGTGAGTGCATGTTTTTGGGAGGAGTAGAGATTACAACTGTGTGTTGGAAAGATGGATGTATTTACACCATTTCAACATTTGGTTTGAATCAGTCTCAAACTTCCTTACAGTCAGCCGCGTACTGCATCTGCCTGCTGTTCACCTCACCTGGTGCGTCTCTCAGGTATCTGAGTGCAGGTGTGCTGAGGAGGAACAGTCCTCCACCTCCTAGCCTCCAGCACCATGGCCTCTGCATCCACCAGGCCAAAACCATACAGGTGGCTGACTGTGAGACAAGACACAGATGGATTACAAGACTAAAAGCAACGTAAAGAGGGATGATAACACTCAGGCCTTCTACAAAAATCTACGGCTTCAGTGTTGTTGAAAGTATTTCAAGTATAAAACAGTCAATGTACTATGTAAGTATTAGAAGTAGAATGCAGTGTGCCTCTGAGTCCCGCCGCATTGGTCTTCCAGTCATCAGCTTTCAGGTGGACTGGTCTGGATGTTCTCACCAGAAGATGTTGCACATCCCTCCATGTCAGCAAGAGGCTGCAGAAACCAAAGACTCTGTTCATCTCTTTTGGCCACAGAGAGTGACTCATGACCTTATGTGTGTTAGGACTTTGATTGACAATTCAATTTCTTTAATTCAACCAGGTTTAAAGCGATGTAACATGTTTTTGGCAGATTGTTTCAGCCTGTACAATACATTCACACATGCAGATACAAAGATACAGGAGGAGGCAAGATGACATTCATTATCAACTGAAGCTAAAAGGATTAGACTGGTGATAATTTGCCATACGGAATGGATTAGAGATAATTGTCAAATAATCACTTTACTTATGCCAGGCATATGCCAGAGCATCGATGTCCCAGTCCTCCTTGTTCACTGCTTTTTTTTTAATGCTTCCGGGTTTCCCCTGGTAATCCCATGTTTAACATCATATTGCTATGAATAGTGGGTCGTTCCCTCAGGCAAAGTCTGCAGAAATGTGGATTTATGAATGTATGTACAAATAAATGCATATAAGGAGCTCAAAATGTCTGTGAGAGTCCTCACGCACTTGACAATTGGACAGTGGGATGGCCCTAAGGCCCCGCAGACTTTGCAGGAATGTGCCTCAAAGTCTGTGAGCCCATGAGTGTGGACACTGGGACTGGGCCAGAGTGGCTCAGCTTAACTGAACTTTGACCCCAGATACAGTACTACCTGGAGTCACAGATTCTGTACGAGAATTCCACACACATGGGTTACGTAAAATATAATGACGCATTATTTTCCCTTGAGGAGTCTGAGTATCACAAAAAACATGTTTACACTTAATAAAGGGTGTCTAAAGAAAAAAGAAACCTGAAGTATCAAATCAAGAATTTGGGGAAATATTCTGCCAACAAAAAAAAAGAAAAAGAAATGATATTTTTGGCCTTGTAACTGTGCAATATCTAGATAAGAGTGATGACAGCAAAAGACCTAAACAGACAGAAGACAGATGGTGAAGGAGAAGGGGAAACCAGAGTAATGAGATGATATGACAGGAAACACCAAGACTCCAAAAACTTGACTGACTTGGCCTCCAGGGCGAGAGCAATGACTCCAGCCACAATGGGAGCAGAGACAGAGGTGCCAGTGTGACCATCAGTGCAGCGGTGTCGGAGGTCAGTGGTCACCTGCAAGAGAGCACAAACACAGAACAGTTTCCATGTAATGCACTGTTTATATATATGATTTTTACATGACTTTCCTTCTTTTATTAATCAATGCTGTATTGACTGTCTGCTGAGAGCCCTTAATTAGTGAGCACATGTGATTAGACTATACATGTGCATATAAATGTTCAAATGGTGGTAATCACAAAACAGTGTATCATTGAAACAAGTAGTAAATAACTTTTTCCAGACTTTCTTACACACCTGTTCTCTCTGGTGTCTCAGTCAATGATGTTGTAGATAATTTCAGATCTACACTTACAAATGATAAAGGCAGTGTACGGTAAGGAAAAAAAAAACAAAATGGAAAAATGCCACACTGGTGAAAACCTAAGAAAAAGAGTGTTGAAGAGTTAAAAGCAGGTGGCAAAAACAAGTTTCCATGTTCATCATGACATGTATAAAGAGACTTCACATTGTCCACTCTGTCTCCAGATAACTGGAGAACAAATGTGCAGAATCACTCACATGACTGATCAGTACACAATGAATCGCAGAACCACTGCACCCTCTGTGGTCTGAATATGCACGCTTACCTTTAGGGTAAGAGGCGTCACATCATTTATCTCATGAAGCATTCAGCTGCTTAACAAGCACTGGTCACAGGTCTGTAACTATGATGTTTTTTGCATGTTATTATGTCATGTGTTGATGTTGTTTTTGATAATGTGTTTTTAGATACTCGTTATGCTCATTTGTGCAAAGCAAAGTTCACCTTGGGGCAATAAAGGTTTCATTCATTCATGTATACAAAACTGACACACAGGGAAGTCCTTCTCTGAAATCATTCTCTGACATCACTGCCAAAATCAACAATAATGCATGTGGCTTGTTTGCTACTGTTAACAGGCTGACAAACCCTCCTGCATCAGTGGCCCCTGAACTTCTACCCACAAAGTCATGCAATGAATTTGCACCATTCATCAGACTGAGTTGCCTTTTAATCCCATTATTCAGTCTGACATCATGGTTTTCTTTTGTTTTTACCCTGAATAATCAGTAGCAAGTGACCTGTCCAATGGCCCTTTCAGCTGTCACTGAAGCTGTGGTGGAGGTAGCTAGAAACAATTATCATGATCAAGTATGTTGATTTAAGACAAACAATTTCTGTAAAATTACTCATAACAATCTGGACACCTGTGTCTATCTCATCCAAACTTGTTGCCATTAAGGTGGAATTTTTTTTGTTGCTGTTTTTCAGTCTCTGTTACAGGACGATGATGTCCCCTTTATTAGTCTCATTTACAAATCTCAAAATAACTAGCTGTCAGTGAGCACACCAGACAGCCGGTTAGAATCGCTGAAAAAATATAAAAGTGGGGAGTGCTTCAAAAGTTTAGAGCCAGGCTTCGGTAGACAAGAAGCAGAACTCGCCTCACTCAGTGGAACTGTTAAGTATCTTTGTGCAATGACTTGAATTTGTTGTGATCATGTTCCCGCTTTGTTTAAAGGCCATGATCAGACATAAAAAACACATCCAACAATAACAGCAAACACTGACAGTCTGTTCTGTTCATAGTGGAGCTCAAAATCACCGCTTGTTTAAATAGATGACAGATGAGGGAAGGAGGTCTACGAGACACTGTGTGTGTCCTCCCCACAATCTGACCTGGCTGTTGGCTGGCCTCCAACTTACGCACTCCATCGGGGAGATGGTTCTTTCGTCACTTTGGTTGGTTTTACACAAGCCAAAGCATAATATTTACACTGTGTGTGTGACCGGGGCACAGAGAGACATGGCTGATAGCTAGAGCAAAGACACGACCCAGCTCCACATTTTCACAGTTCATTGTTAACTGCAGCAGAGCGCTGCATTAATGGCTTTACATGTGTGTTATTAAATCATCATGTCTCATTACGTGATCTGCTTTCTTTTATATGCTATCTACTCTCTGCATCACATGAGAGATACAACAAAGTCAAGGTAAACACAACCTTCACTGATCTTTGGTTCTTTGGTCTTCTCACAAACACACATTCGCACACGCATACAAATTACTCCTTACAACAACCTTTGTACACGCTGCATTTGGTGTACATGCCTCTTTTCATATCTCATCACTGCTGCGGCCAAAGGAGACGCACTCATAATAACACTGAAGTCATAACTTGGAGAAAAGGTCTTCATTTTCTTTCCTTTTTATAAACAGGTTACAGGCAGACACCAATAGTGAGTGGTCAGTTTTCCGGTCAACTGACCTGAACACAAACACAAATATGACTCACAGCCTCAGTGCTGTGGCTTGTGTGCTCCATGCTAACAACTTAGCTTACAGTCATGGTCATAGGTTGTCATTTTAGATTAGGTGAAAAGCCTCACAAGGATGAGTTTTGTGTAATATGAGTCGGTCCAAGGGGGCCACCGGAGACAGTAAGATATGGATGCTTGAGGGTGGTGTGCTGCAGAATAATGCAAAGAGCAACTTTTTTGTTGATACAGTGATGGACAATGAATGATAACCCTCATCCTTTTTTGTATTTTGGTTTAGTTTCTGTCTGCATCTGTGTGTTAAGCAGATGTAAGTGAAATCAACAACGAGCTCAGTGCAACATTGTTAAGGTGAGAAAAGGACCAGCCATGTGGTCGAGTGGGCAACACTGCCTAGAACGAGTGGAGTGACGGCAGAAAGCTAGTTGAGGTTACTGCTGCTCAGACAGGGCTTTCATCCTTTTCTTGTTAATTGCATTGCCAACTCCTTTCCAATGAAATTAACTAGCATTAGCTCCACTAGTTGCTAAAAGTCTTAGGAAGACATCACATGCTCGTTTGCATATTTGTGACATCATCACACATTAATTTGCTTAAAGTGATAGTTCAGGTTTTTGGACATGAAGTTGTGTGAAATGCTGACCATCTGTAGCTCTGATGTGACAGTGTCACTACTCTCAACGAGCCTCCTGCTCAGAGAAATCACCCGTAGCTTACCAGAGAAAAAGTAGTTCTGACGAGGGTGTGTCGTGAGCCTGAGCCGGTGTTTGTGCTGTAGTAGTAGGTATATATAGGGCTAGTACATCTTCTTCCTCACTAATAATAGCCTACTGGTTCTCTGTTGGAAACAGCTGATGAAGTTTTCGTTAGCCGTTGCTATCCTGCGCACCTGCACGGCGTGGTGATGAACTGTCTGATTGATTTCTATTCGTGTGCTGTCTTGCGGGCCTGCGCGGCAGAGTGATACTGGCCAGAAAATAGTCCCAGTTGATAGCAAAGTCTGACGTAATGCGGGGATGTTTTAAAATTATTGAAATAGTCTAACAAAACACATGCATACTTTTTTGTAGCTTAAAACCTTTTGGTTACGTTTCCCCCGTACATCTTCAGAACTACTTTTTCTCCGGTAAGCTACGGGCCATTTCTCAGAGCAGGAGGCTCGTTAAGAGTAGTGACACCGTCACATCAGAGCTACAGATGGTCAGCGTTTCACACAACTTCATGTCCAAAAACCTGAACTATCACTTTAAAGCTTTGTAGTTGTGAGATAGACAGAAAAATGTTTAGCAAAATAATCATAAACTCATGACAGGGTCATTGCACTTATTTCTTTTTAAAATCTACAAAGGACAGGAGAAGATCAAACAACTGAACTTCCACTCCTGCAGAGAACTGCGTTCAACGGCCTGCTCCACACCCACTGACTGCCTGCACACAGTGCAAGAGAGGGAGAGACCTGCACTGTTGGCAGTACATTCATGGACTTTAATTACTCTGAGAAGCATGTATGAATGAATTACAATATAATATTTCTGAATAGATTTCTCACTCCTTCCCTGATGGTCTGAATAAGTCTCTAAATTTGTTGCCTGTCACCTTTTAGAAATAAAGTCCTACTACGTCAACCAACCATTGGCCACAAGAAGGAACGCACTAGCATGTATAGTAGTAGGTACTAAGGATAAGCGAGTGCACCATTATCTGTATCTGTTCAACCAACTAAATGATCTGTATCCATATCAGACACCAGACAACTGGGAGGAGCACCAGACTGGAGGTTACTGGCAGATCTGAACCAGCAGCTGTGCTTCCCATCTGAGATCACCTGTACTAACCTCAGACCAGACCTCGTGCTTTGGTCCTCCTCACTGCACCTTGTCTACATCATTGATCTAACTGTGCCCTGGGAGGAGGCCTACGAACGCAAGAGCCTTAAGCACGCAGAGCTGGCAGTCGATGCTAAGCAATGCAGCTGGAAAGCGAAGGTTTGCCCTGTCCCAAGAAATGGGAATTTGAGGCCAAATCCAACGTCAGTCCATCAAAGCTCTCTCTGACGCAGCCAGACAGGCAAGCTGGAGGCTATGGATTAAGAGGAGAGACACCACTTGGGCCCCAAAATAATCACTAACAACAGCAGGGTTTGACAGAGTAAAAGCAGAGGGGGGCACACCCGGGACTCCGAGTGTTGCTGATGAGCCCTCTGGAGGTGCTGTGGGCCTATTATCGAAACGCCAGTGAAGGAGGGTATCCAACTGATGACCCAGATGAAGCTTTTACCCTCCCTAACTGACTTAAATTGGAAATGGGTCAGGTGGAACAAGAAGTTGTTGGTTTAGGCCTGAAATTCATTTGGGTTGATCAGAGGAGGCTATATTTATCATTACTAGAAAAGATCAGTTTTGAATACAAGTTTACTTAATCAGACGTACAGATATTGCCAAAATTTACTTAAATGATATTTGCATTCGTTAAAGAGTACAATATCTGAATTGGACACTCATTTCAGTCCGAGTATTAACTTTAACCCTGGTAGACTGTCTGAGCTACAGTTGATGACATATACACAGTACTCACGATCTTCCTCTCGTGAAACTCTCCACTGCTGTATGTCGTGGCCATGATGGAGCTGCAGGCCTCCAGGTACCACGGCTTGTTCCCGTTCTCTGTGGTGCTGGAGATGGAGATGGTGTAGATACTGCTGGTGTAGCCATCACATGAACAGTGATCACCCTGCCGTCCACCGTTACCTGACGCCCAGACAAAAATGGAGCCCAGGCCTTTGCGGCCCTGTGTGACACACAGTGACATGGTGCTGTGATCAACATCAATTGTACACATTAAAGTCTGCTCAGAGAAATTCTGTTTTTTCTTTGTAGCTGATCAAACCTTCTTGATGCCATGCTCAAAAGCCTTCTTCGTTAGCAACCCTGGGCCGTCCACTGTCTTGCCATCGTCTTTTGGCCCCCAGCTGGCACTGTAGATGTCGATGTAGTCGGGTCGGATTCCCAGGGACATGGCCTCTACCATATCAGTCACATCACCATCCAGCATCCGAATCCCTGTGTCCAAGGCAACACCAATCCCAAAACATCAAACTCTTTTCTTTTTTTGTAATTCAAGTTTTTTATAAAATTCTTCCATCACATAAACAAAAGAATGCAGAATGAATCAACATACCACATTGAGTAAGTGAGAAATGGGGGAACTCTACCTCCAATGTGAGCATTATAGGCAATCCCAACAATGCAGTGGGAGTTGTTGGCCGCCGCTGCAACTTCCCCTGCACACCGAGTCCCATGTCTGCATGTAAAGAGAGAGCAAACACAGAAATTAAAGTCTGGCACACAGCTGTGATCTGCTTTAATGGCAGCTTCAAAGGCAGATTACTGTAAATATTTCTGGGAAGCACATCAGAAATAACTAACCTGACAGTGGCCTTTTTTATAAAGCACAAAATTAATATTATTATATCATTCAAAGAAGAGATGTCACCAACACAGTGTGATCACATGCACAAACAGACTATGGGGGCTACTCTTTCTTCCTCTCTGATGGATTCCCCCGTGTACAATCATTGATGTAAAAAGCTAAGTCTAGAAAGAAGTCACCAGTCTTTGATTCTCTGCGACTGACATCACAAACTGACATTTACTGTTGATATTTTGGGTTGCTTTTGCTCTCAACGTTGATGGTAGCGCTGGTGGAAACAGGATTTGCACATCAAAAGATGTGTGCACTATCATGTAGGTTGGGCACAAGCGTATTAGTGTCGTATTTTTTAAAGCTTACTGCATTTTAAAGACCATGTGTGTGAGGAGGGAGCGATTAGCCTTGAATACTAACAGACTGAATCCAGCTCCAAACCAGATGGAGGTTAACTGATCTGCAGCACTGCAGGCACAATTATCTTCCTCACACAGGAGAAACTCTGGAGAAAACAGGATTTAGAAAAACTTTTTAAAAGCTTTAGTCTTTATGTTTATTACAATCAACCAACACTAGGTTTTTGAGGCCAATACTGGCATCAGTATTTGGTAGTCTAAAAAAATCTAATGTACAATGTATTGGTGCTGCAGAATTAGGGCTGCCCCAGACTAAGAATTTTCCTAGTCAACCAATAGTCGTCATTTACGGCCATTAGTCGACTAGTCTCCTGCATGTTTACGATATTAATTTACTTATTAAATGATATATTTTGGTGGTTTGAGTTGAAGGTGTGAGAAAGAATAGTATCAGTAACATTGTTAACACTGTGCTACATTACAGAGAAATACAAAACTGTACTAATGAACCTTCATTAATATAGGCCTATATTTTATCTCCAAGTGCACGTCACACACTGAGCGAGCCGCCTGTTAATGACGCTGTGGGCTAATGGGCATGTAGCTACTTCCATGTTTCAGATGATACGTCATGTTTGTAGTCGACCAATGAAGATGAGTTTACATATCACCTTGGGTTCGTCCTTCACCTTCTCAAAATGATCCCACACTTTGGATTTCCTGCCCGACATGTTATTAACTAGCCTGTGGAATAACCGCAGGTACCAGCCCTGGAAATTAACCTGACTCCTGTCTGACTGCTGAGCGTGGACACTTCCTGTGTCTGTCCTTTCAAATTAAATTCCCACATGGTCCAGTCATATAGGTTTGGATTTATTTTGACAAGGTGCAGCTCCTAATAGAGTTTCACATTGTTTTTTTTACTGCAACTAAGCAACCAATGAAATCTTGCTGTCTAATGACCTTTCTGGTCGACTAACCTTTGGTCGACTATTAGGGGGCAGCCCTATGCAGAATAGATTTAAATGTGACATGTAAATGTGAATGCAACAAGGTGGTGGTGCTTCTTACATATTTTCATTGCGGGAGTTGTAACGTGGTGAAGGGTCATGGTCTCTTCCATTGACATCATAACTTGCTAGATGGTCCTGCAGAAATGATTAAGAGCAACAGAGGAAATGGCAACATAAAGGTGATACTGAGAAAGAGAAAACAGCTCACAGTTACTGAAGCCTCTATCACAGTTTTTGCTGTGTGGTATTGGATGAGTTAGGGCAAAACATGGGTTCCAAACTTGAGGACGTATTTGATTTTGAGCTGTATGCACATTTAGAGATGGATGTATGGATAGCACGTACATAGTTCTGGGCCAGATCTGGATGGTTCCTCTCGATGCCGTCATCCAATATGGTGACCACCACGTTCTTGCCAGTGTAGCCCCTCTGCCAGGCTGCTAGAATGTTCATCTCTGAGCGACAACGGCTGCTCTTATCATTGCAGTGCTGAAAATAAACGACATGTACCAAAGATCTTTTTTTGTCTTGTCAAAACAAAAATGGCAGAATGAATAATTCAAAGTGCTGTACTCACAATGTACCACATGTTGGACCATTTAGGGTCATTGAAATGAATGAAGCTTGGGTCATTTTGGATATGCCTCTTTACTCGTGGTTTAACCACCTGCTGCTGAGCCCAGTCCACCTATGGATGGAAATAGAACAATATAACTTAGTTTTAAGGGTAAAGAGAGAAACACTGTTTTTTATAGAAGCCCAACCCTATAAGGAGAAAACAAGTCAATAACTTGGATTTTTATTTTTCAATGGATAAATTAGAGGCAAATACTGAAGATTCCTAAACTGGTGTAGAATCCTTACTCTGAATTTTGCAAGGTAAGGGCAAAAACTCCACGATAAATGCAGTGTTATGACATATACAGTATTTTATCACTGAAAATCCTGTGCACCTAATGACCTTTTTTATTATGCCATTTAACTTCCAGTTGCTATTACTGTGCATAGTAAACACAAGTCAAAGTGTCAGACCCGAGCGGTTCACACAGCCTGCTAAACATTTCTATTCACATACATTCTGATTCTTGAGGAGGTCAAATGATCTGACAGCCCTACATCCACCACATAAAGAATTCAAACTGCATGCCTAACCTGCTCCAAACTCTGGAGCAAGTTATATTCAGAGTTTTGGATTCAAATCGGCTTTAAAAAGTGTCCTACATGAATCAACTCCTTTGGAAATGGGAGTCGCCGTTCTTCCACAATGCTGTGGACTGAGGTGCCAGAACTTTCCAGAGTTCTCTTTAGAGGGAGACAGTGTTTACAGACTGAATTAGAGATGCACGATATTGGATTTTTTTGCCAATATGCCAATATGTAACAACGTATTTGAACGATAACCAATATCAACATATCCACTTTTTTCCCCACCTAATTTTAGTGATCATCAAGTCTCTTCTGTGGTTGAATTAACATCATATCATGCATGCATATTCTTATCGTGATGGCCCACCAGAAAATGGAGACATGAAATACAATGCCTCTAAATGTATGCAATATTCGTTCATTGTGCAAAATAAGAAAAAGCGTGCTGGCTTATTCTGATAGTTCATTTTAAAGCCAATATTGGCCGATACCAATGACATGCCGATATTATCGTGCATCCTTAGGCTGAATAGATAATCTGCTTTACCTGACATTTCCTGACAAAACTAAAGGGATTTCCATACATTTTTCATTATGGAACAGGGTCAGACCTAAATGCACTTCTTGAGAGTAGCTTTTAAATCTTCTGCATCATGTTGAAAGTTAAACAGCTGTAAAATGTGCAGCTGTGCAGCTGAGCAGTCAGAAATAAAACACAGGCACTGTCAGCTCCACTAAATTTGTGCTAGACTTAGGCTTTGATGTTTATTTTGCAAGTGTTGATGGGGCTTTTTGTGGTTGGCTTTGGACGGTGGTGCCGTGTGGCTGCGATTCACTCACTGGGATGAGGAAATAAACTCATATCTTTTTCGTAATGTCTGTTTTGGGCATCTCCTTATGTTCTCTGGATGTTAATATCAATTTAAAACATTTTTTGGTTGCTATTAATTGACATTTAATTTTAAAAAATGATTTTATTATTCATTTTTGCTTTATTCTATTTATTCACTTGATTTTGCTTTACTTATTTATTTATATATTTCATTAAAATATTTTCTTCTTGTTTTCCTCGTGGATCCTCTCATAGTTTTACAGGAGCGATTATTTTCCTTCTGATAGCTGAGCGGGTGCGTGTCTGCAAAGAGCTCACTGTTGTCCGTCATGCTCCAATGAAGGCTTCAGTTGTAAATAAAATTTAGCAACACACACCATGGGCGTGAAAATTAGCACTGGAGTGGAGTGAAATCTGCCCAGGGGAACAACCACACTGCACTTTTTCCTCTTCCACCTGAAACAAGTAAACCTGTTTCTTCTTATGAACCCATTTTTTAGTTAGAAAATATTAAAGGATCATTCCTATCATTAAAGAGGAAAAGAGAAAACTGGTCAATCTTTTTAAATCCCAAAAGATGTACAACATTTTCACCCCACTGTCTAACCAATTAGATGGAAAAAAATACAGAAATATGTGAGTTGCTGCCAGCGTGATATTCTGAACTATGTCCTGGGTTGGCAGGTCTGCTTGGAAGGTTTTAGACAAGATGAAAAAATGTGTTCATGTGACCTTATCTCCTCTGTTGTACATTCTGATTCCACTTGAAAGGAACTGATCCGGGTCTCACCTCAGGATCCATATGGATGAAGCTGTGGGGGCCCTTCAAAGAGAACGCAGCTCTGCGAACCACTCTGCTGTGGTGGAAATGGTAATGGTCCTCCAGGCTTCCTATCTGACCGAGAAACATCCAACAGCAACATCAAGAAAACAACAACAACAACTGCACTGCAACTTAAAAACAGATGGCTGAATGCGAAATATTCCATCTGAGCTGCTGTTATCTAAAAGGCTTTTACACTGATGCGGTGTGACTTTTTAAAATGGAAAACTCAACATAAACCTGATTGTACAAAGCCCTCTACATTCAAAACACATTGGGGCCATCTGTTTATAGTCCATGATGTCACTTTATAAATATGCATGTTCTCTCTTGACTTTGCACCAAAAATGTGAGCAGGATTCTCAGCACATGTGCACAGCTGGCACACTGCAGTCATATTCTGTCTACTCTGTCTTCTAAGCCATTTCTCTTACTACATCTGTCTTCATCCTCTCCTCCTCCTCCTCCTCCTCCTCCCACAAAACATCTTGTGGTAGTCCTTGTAACAGACTGTGAGCCTTACAGTACCACTTTCTGATAGACTACCTTTACAATCCTTATATAAAGGGTTAAGAATAGATTTAGCTTATATTTTATGAATGCTGATGAATCATTTACTGAAGGTTTAAAAATCACTTGTTAGTAAAGACGGTGATAGTGCTCAAAAGAGAAGGAGACACTCCTAAAGTCTAATGACGCATTGTTTCCATTTAGAGAATGTCTGTATTAGATAAACATCTGTGAACAAAAAATGGCGGCTCCACCTACATTTAAAGGTCCAGTGTAGGATTTAGGGGGATATATTGGCAGAAACTGAATACAATATAAAAAGAATGTTTTCTTTAGCATACGAATACCTGAAAATAAGAACCATTGTGTTTTCATTACCATAGAATGAGACGTATTTCTACATAGGGAGCAGGTCCTTGTCTATGGAGATCGCCACGTCGCACCACCATGTTTCTACAGTAACCCCGAATGTACAACCCGAAAAATGGCTTGAGATACGGCCATTCTTGTTTTCGCGTTTTCACATCGGGCACTGTAGTTAGAAGCCCTTTCGTAACAAGGAGGGTCAGGAAAACACTATTTTTTTTAAATGTGAAACTGCTTTATTTAGTGTTTTACCAGTTTTAAACACCTGGTCTGTTTTACTTATTTATATTTTGGAGAAGAAAAGACTTCTGCGGATAATTCAGCTCGCCGTGAAAACCTCCTGCCCATCTGGACATGAAGTTACCAGAGAAAAAGGTGAGCGCACATTAGCAGGTGCGGGGCTAACAGCCCAGCTCCAACATGCCAAACAGCGTTTGATAAACACTAACTTGCAGGGATGCACAATATTGGATTTTTTTTTACTGATATCCAATATATAACAACTCATTTGACCAATAACCGATATCAATATTCTCCCTAATTTTAGTGATCTCCTCTGTCGTGGAATTAGCATGTTATACATGCATACTCATCGTGACGGCCCACCAGCAGATAGAGACATGAAATACAATACTTTTCAGTGTATGTAATATTCATTCATTGTGCAAAATAAGAAAAAGCATGTTGGCTGATTCTGATAGTTCATTTTAAAGCCGATATTGGCTGATACAGATGATGTACCGATATCATTGTGCATCCCTACTAATTTGTAACTTGAAACTGCTTTATTCTGTCTTTACTTGTTTAAATCCCCAGGTCTGTTTGTTTTGGAGAAGAAGACACCTCTACTCACTGTAAAACACCCCTGATTATCTGGATCAGAAATGATGTGAGCACACATTAGCAGGCACTGGGCAAACAGCCCGTCGACGTGCCAAACAACATAGAAGAAATACTGATTTGTAACATGTTTTTATCGCCGTGTCCATTTGTTTTGGAGAGGAAGAGACCTCTGAGAATAATTCAGCTCCTGGTAAAAACCTCCTGAACAATAAACACTGAGGGAAAATATTTGGGAGAAGTTTCAGCTCATTGAAAACGGCAATCGTCACTGCCAGACACCACTAAATTCCCCTGAATTTTACACACTGCTCCCAAATTGTTACACATTATACACATAAAAAAACCCTAAAAAATTTCACAGGATATGCGTAATTCATATTTTTGCACTTTTATTCAGTGGTGGAATCTAACTAAGTACATTTACTCAAGAACTGTACTTTAGTACAATTTTGATGCACTTGTACTTTACTTTTTCCATTTCATGCTACTTTGTACTTCACTTCATTTTTGGAAGTCCAGCAGCATAACAACATTAGGGATTTTTGTACATGAATGCATCACTAATTAGTATCCAGTAATATAGTATAAATTATACATAATGCATAATAAGTACTTTTGGTACTTTACTGTAAATATATTTCGATGCCAATACTTTTGTACTTTTATTTGAGTAGCATTGTGACAGCAGGACATGTACTTGTGACAGAGTATTTTTACACTGTTGTATTGCTGCTATTAATATCTGAGGATTTCTTCCACACCACTGCTTTTATTAGACTGATTTTGGTTGAATTTAAACCCATTTTGTATCATGTGATATCCTAGTTGTATGTTGAGTTATGGTGTAATTTCTTACTCACATTAATTTTTTAAAAAGTTATTAAAGATTTATAAAGGCTCAACATGTCACAAAGAGGTATCAATTTTGATCTACTTAGTGTTTTCTATTTTTCATTATCACATTATAGGGCTAAATCAATCAGATTATCTGTGAAAGTTACAGGGAATCCAATCCATGATAACATTTATGTAGGTTAGTTTACATAAATCTAACTCTTGTAGCCTAATTCTTAATTTGGAGTTTGTGGCTTTTACCTTCACAGCTGTTTCATACAGTCCTGAGACCAAGTGATCACCAACAGTGACTATTACTTCATGCTGCTACGTTACAAAGTAAACAACGACAGTCAGAGCAGTGTTAACACACCAGCAGAAACAAACGGTGTCATCATTACCTGTCCAAAGTTTATATATCCATATTTAGCTGCGATTCTATCAGCTTGTTCCTGACCACCTGTGATCCGCACTGCCCAGTGGTTTGTGTAAACGCTGCCCTGTCCCGACACCACTGACCGACTCCTTTCAACAGTTAATAAAATGAATAGCAAAAATAAAGTCATCCTGAATTCAAGAGTCAAAGTCAGTTTAGGAGAGAAGAAGCCTGTCGGATCTGTGGCAGCGCAGCTTTGGGTGAAGTCTGTCATAAATCCATCATGTTGTGTTCATGTCCCGGCGAAAATTTACTGTCCGGTTGAAAACTAGTCCCCGTGCCGCGGAGGAGGAGCTGCGATGAGAACTGAGAGCAGCGGCCAACAGAGAGGCTACAGTCCGCACATCAACATCATCATCATCATCAGAGAGAGAGAGACAGACAGAGGATCAGATCTGAGAGCTCACTGGATGCTGCTGCTCTCACCTGCACTGATTTACCTGCAGGACGCATCACGTTTCAAACATAGGCTATATATGTATAAATATCTGTGTAGCCAAAAGTTTCTTATCATTTATTTTGAACAGACAGTAGTGCAACAATCCTCCTGCTGGAGACTGAGGGAACATTTTTTCCCACTAGCAATTTTAGTAAACTATTCTCATTATAAAAATAAATAACATTTTAATCACTTGTGTTATTACACTATATTAACACTTTCCTAAAAGAGATCACAGTAGGCTACAAAACTGAAAAGTATCTCTTGTGAAATTAAACTGAAAATACAAAATAACTTACTGGGAGAGCAAAGCTAATACACCAGCTACGATGGCCGCCATTTTGTTTTTACTGAGCATATGATAATAAACCTCTTCAATCTTGTGCACTTGGAATGTTACAATTAATTCCACCTTGCTATATGCCGATATAAAAGCCATCTGCTTTAGTATTTATTTTAAATACCGTTCTTCTAGGGCAGTTTTAAAGCAGCAGAGATTTGTTTTTTCCTCAGGTGTTATGAGGCAGACTGTTTCCCGGTCAATATGTGTTTCCCCCTGCCTAAACTTGACCCAAGCCATACTGTATATAAATATTTATATGTTCTTAAATATACTGTATGTAAATATTTATATACAGTCTGACCCAAACCCTTAGTTAGCCCAAACCTTAACCACCAAGGGAAACACTATTTGGAGGGCGGGGCGCATTTCCTTATTACACCAGCACATTTGTGTGACGCAGTGAAATGTGTGTTAGCATGTTAGCGGTGTTTTCACTCACATACCCTAACCTTACACCGCTGGAGAAACACCGACACATCGTCCTCCTCCTCTCCCTTAGCCGTTGTAGCTGACCGGGACCCCGCAGGCGAGTCTTCCAGCTCCGACGTTTCATTTCTGCTTGGAGTAGTGTGACAGACTCGACCGAGAATTAGCTTGACATGCTAACATTTGTTGCGAGCGGCGGCAGCTAAACGTTTCCGGGCGGAACTCGCGCTCTTGACCTCGGTTCCGCAAAATACCACATTAATTGTAGCAGGAGGAGAAATAGGCTACTTTAAGTTTTCTGTCTTGAAAAAAAGAGCTATAGCAGGACTGCAAGAAAGATAATTGTCGACTTTTCTTAATTCTTGTTGTTTTGAATTATGATACTTGTTTCAGATCTTGATGTTTTTGCTCCATTTTGTTAAATTTTGTATGTCTGGTGCTTGAATTTATTAACTTACCTTTTAATATTATTATTTAATTGTGTAGAAATCTCCCCTCTAGTCTGTTTTATTTTGTTTATTTTTTTTCTTTCTTTACCTTCATCAAGGTGGACTATTATTTGTGTACTGTATCTTTTACAGAAGAAACATCCTCTCTATGAGATGTTGTATGTTCCTGTATGTTCTACAAATGTTCAATATTTAAAAAAAGAAGGGGGGAGTGACGGGGAAAAAAAAAAACGTGGTTCGGCTCTACGTCATCGAGCTTCATACCATGCCGCTGTGCGCATATACAGTGACAAACATTGAAAAATCATTCTCGCAAAGTATCATATTCATAAATCCAAATTTAGCCATCACAAACCTTTATTTTAAGTATTTGAAAATTAAACCAAACAGTAACAGTGTTACTAAGTATGACTCATTCTTTCAACAGATGTGATTGGTTGTCGCAGACAGGCCCTATTGTGAGCCTGCAAGGTGTGGACACCCAGTGGAAATGAAATGAACTCCATCAAAATACAAGACTGTGAGAGAGCTGTCTTTACAAGTGTGATCACTGCTGATGAAAGGTTGAAACAGACCCAAGTCATCACTGCTTCTCTGCTGCATTTTCCCCAAATATGTTGGTGTTTGATCATTTAATATTTGGCATTAGGTTGTTACTGCATTTTATGGGAAAAATATGCATATCCCTAATGAGATAGACCACAAATATTACCCCTGCACCATCTAATCTATGGCTATTCATTTACTCGCTGTCATTCATTGTCTGGAGAATATTTCTTCTACCTCTTTGTGTTTCCACAATTTTCTCCTCTGCTTAGAAAACTCTTAAGAGTCCTCCCCACTACTCCTTACAGTTTTTCACCATAGGATCTCTCATACTGTAAGGGTTAAGATGTTTTGTGAATAACTTTTATCTTTACCAGGACTTACCAGACATTTTTGTCACTAGGAGCAGCTCTTTGTACTGGGAAGCTTTGTGAATATGGCCTCCAAATACCTCTAATCCCCAGTATGATTGAGCATTCGTGGGACATGCACATACCCCTAAAGGTAATTCTGACCTGGCATGAACAGGGGACTTCTGGGGGGTGTCCTGTGGTGTCTGGCATCAGGGTTTTGGCAGTAGATCCTTTTAGTCTAGTGGGTTGTGAGGTGGGGTACCAGCACATCCAATGGATGCTTGATCACATTGGAATCTGGGGAATTTGGAGGCCAGGTCGACACCTTGAGCTCCTTGTTGTATTCTTCTGGTCATTCCTGCATTATCCTGTCATTGTGGAGTGCCATTGACATAGAGGGGGGTTACTTGGCCTACAATGGTGTTTGGGTGGACGGAGCGTGTCAGGAGGCATCCGCATGAATGCCAGGACCCAAGGATTCCCAGCAGAACATTGCATTGTAACAAAATGATCAATGTTATTCAATTTATCCATGAGTGCTTTTAATGTTTTGGTTGATTCGTATATGTGCCACCTGCCAAAGTGACCCGTAAGAGTGACTGTGTTATGCCACTGCTGAATTCTAGCTGCATTTGGCAGGCCGGGGCGTGCTAAAATCAAACCCTGGTTGCTTCTCAGCTGCCTCCCCATATGGAACCATAGGCAGCTGGGCAGCTGTTTCATTTTTTTATCACACTTACATGTGTCTGTGTGAGTGGGAGATTTTAGATCTCTGAAGTTAGTGCAAACACATGATCTGGCAGGTCTTTGCCCTGCAGACGCCCCGCTGTGCTGGCAGACTGGCAGGGTTGTGTTTGAAGTTCTCAGGTTGGGTGTGTGTCACTGACCAATGAATCACCTACGTCTACAAACACACTGAGGTTTTTAAGGCCTGTTAGACCAGCACGAACAAATACTGTGCATGGATTCAGTTTCTTCATTGTCTTTTGTAGAGTTTTACAAGATGTCTCACATTCTGTCCACTGGTCACAGGATGAATGGAAGATATGTCCACAGTTCACGACCCTGGTGTTGTCTTGACACTGCTGCCATCTAGTGAAGAAAACACATAGAGACAGAGTTGAGAGTTAGCCCAACAGTAGCAGGTTATTATGAGCCCAGTTTGGCTTTAGAGGGGCTTCATCTCTCACAGGAAATAGAGGTGGTTCCTTTAAAAATTGCACTAACAACGTTGCCAACCTCATTAATATTCCAACTCCAGTTGCATCATATACATAGAGGAGATAAATCTGATGCAGGTGGAGGTCTTGAACAGTGGTGTAGTTGTACTGGATATACAATATTATCATAAAGGCCTTTTAATCACTAGTGACCATGAGATTGAGTCAACACCTCCCAGTGTTTCAGTGTATTAGTAGGAATGCATGATATTGGAATTTTTGCCAATATCCGATATGCCAATATATAACAACTCATTTGACTGATAACCAATATCAATATCAATATATCCACTTTTTCCCAACCTTATTTTAGTGATCATCAAGTCTAGTCAAGTTTAGTGGAGTTAACAACATATTGTGCATGCCTGTTCTTATCATGAAGGCCCACCAAATGGAGACATGAAATACAAGATCTTCAATGTATGTAATATATGTTCATTTGCAAAATAGGAAAAAGCATGTTGGCTGAGTCTGATAGTTCATTTTAATGCCAGTATGGGCCAATGCCAATGACATTCCAATCGTATTGTGCATCCCTAGTTTTTAGCTTAATAACAAGCCTGTTCTTTTCGTTTTTAATGAATACATACTTGCCCTTTTTTTATACAGTAGTAGAATCTATAGGCTATTAATTGATGATAAATATTCTACTTTCAAAGGGGAGTTGTGTTGACACCAACTGTCCAACAGCGTGACCTCTTTACAGAAAGTCCTTACCAGCCTGCACAGTCAATAAAAGTGTTGATATCATTGTGTTTAATATCAGGGTTATTACTGTGGACTTACTGTTAATATATGTCAGAGGCCAGCTGTGGTGGGAACATGTAATCAACACATTACATTTTTAATTTCACCCAAATCCAGCTCCCTGTGAAGCAGCTGTGTTCAGAAATATTTTCCAAATTGCTGACCAAGCACAGTAGGGGGTGCTGTTTTCTGACTTATCAGTGACTCGTGCCTCTGTGACTGCCAAGTGGCTTGTGTTGAGTCATGAATAGAGCTGATCAAGACAATAGCTAAACACACATACACACACTTAAGGGGATCCAAACACCCTGCAGCAAGCATGACTATAACCCAACAACCAAGTTAACTTAAAAAAGCTGAAAGCAGCATTTACTGATTTTTTTTCAGCCACCACATATGATTTTTTACATTAAAAAAGGGTGTTATTTTGCATGTGTTAGTCTACTGACAGATGCAGGAGACACAAAGCAACATGGCCTTCATTTGGAGTTGTGTTTCTGTCCACATGATTAAGACAATCTAATATTCATTCTGCTTTTGGTGTTCACAAAAATCCCTGAAAAACATATCTGGTTATTCAGCTGCTAAATGCTTCACTATGTTCACCAGCTAGTCAGTGTCTGTTTGAAAACAGCTGCCTGCTGAAAGAAGTTGTTGATGAGAGCAGAGATGCAGTGAAGTAGTGGGCTATAAAACCAAAATAATGAGCTGAGAGACACGACGAGGCTTCATAAAGCCGAGGGGAACTGCAGAGTTGGTGATAATTCACTGTGGGTTCAT